TTCGCACCATGAATATTTAATATGAAACAGCTTGGGTGAAAATTGCTCCTAGCTTGACTCCATTGTGAATCCTGAAACCGTTTTCACATGTGGATAGCTCTCTCCTCACACAGGGTTGGATTGCTGGATATTAACTATTTCTGATGATATTGCTGAGGCAAATTTCACCTAGATTCCTCGCCCTGTGATTATGTTCATTATAAATGCTCGTGTTTGTTGTCCCAAAGGCTCTCCTGGTTACCGTGAAATGTCTTTGTGTAATGGAATAAATGAATCACTACAGACTCCACACACGTATAAAATTCCAACTGACCGAGGATTTATACTCTGCCTTCTTTGGACTTGACAGGAAGGGGAGAACGCTCAGTGCCCAGGAGAAAAGACATCAATTTGCGGGAGGCTGAATCTGGTGTCTCATGTAAAACTTTGCTAACTCTACTTTGCTAAGTAAAGGGTCTGTTCCTCTGACTCAATACTCTTGCACCAAGAAAGAGATGCTCCCACTGGACAGGACTGGAGTTTTTTCTGAAAGCTTTAAAATCTGGCTTGCTGGGCCCTCCAGAAAGAAGTAGAATCCCTACAAGTGTAGAAACAGGCCCTTCGGCCCAACAAGTCCACACCGCCCCTCCAAAGAGCATCCCACTCAGACCTGTCCCTCTATAAACCACTTAATCTACACATGCCCAAACACTATGGGCAATTTAGCATGGCTAATTCACTTAGCTTGCACATCTTTGGACTGTGGGAGGAAACTGGAGCACCTAGAGGAAACCCACGCAGACATGGGGAGAATGTGCAAACTCCACACAGAGAGTTGCCCAATGAGTGGAATTGAACCTGGGTCCCTGGTACTGTGAGGCAGCAGTGCTAACCACTGAGCCACTGTCTAGCCTATAATAGTCAAGCAAGAGGAAGATCCTGGGTGATAGGTTAGTGGTAGCACCCAGTGCAACTCAAAAGTCCAATATTTGGGTATGCAGAGATACAGGGTGTAGGAGGCACAGTGACCAATTATTAGCATTTTACAGATTGTTTGGCAGACTAGAGGTGATGCTGGTCAAGAATCCACTGGCTCAGGGCATCTTGTGCTGTGCTCACAGAAACACTGAATAGAGGAGCTGAACATTGTTTAATTGGAGAATGACTGAAGAAAGCTACAAATGGAGTTGGGAGTCCTTGTCCATGAATCACAAAAGCTCACATCCAAGTTCAACGGGGAAGGTGAACAGAATGTTAGCTTTTATTTTGAAGGTAATGTAGCATAAAAGTTAGTAGGTTTTTCTAAAAGTATTTTAGGTACTAGTCAGACCACAGTTGGAATACTGTGATCAATTTTGGTCCCTTACGTAAGGTAAGATATACCGGCCATTGGAGGCAATCCAGAGAATATTCATTAAAGGTGGTTGGCAGGTGCAGCAAGTACATAGAACATAGAACAGTACAGCACAGTACAGGCCCTTCAGCCCACGATGTTGTGCCAACCTATTATCCTACTGAGATCAATCTACCCTGCACTCCCTACATTTTACTATTCTCCATGTGCCTATCCAAGAGTCACTTAAAAGTCTCTAAAGTATCTGACATTAAGTAATTAAGAAAGCAAATGGAATATTGTCCTTCATTGCCAGACGGATAGAGTTTAAAAACAGGGAGGTTATGCTGCAGCTGTGTAGGGGGCGGATGAGGCCACACCTGGAGTACTGTGTACAGATTTGGTCTCCTTACTTGAGAAGGGATGTGCTGGCACTTTAAGGGGTGCAGAGGAAGTTCACTAGATTGATTATAAAATTGAGAGCATTGGCTTATGATGAGAGATTGAGTAGACTGGGACTATACTCATAGGAATTTAGAAGAATGAGGGGGATTCTTATAGAAACATATAAAATTATTAGGGGAATAGACAAGATTGAAGCGGGGAGGTTGTTTCCATTGATAGGTGAAACTACAACTCGGGGGCAAATTCTTCACGCAAAGGGTGGATTCCCTGCATTACGAAGCAGTTGGGGCTACCTCATTGAATGTTTTTAAGACAATGACAGATTTTCAAATAGTAAAGGAATTAAGGATAATGGCAAATGGTCAGGTAGTGGAGCTGAGCCTACAAAAAGATCAGCCAAGATGTTATTGAATGGCAGAGTAGGCTCGATGGGCCAGATGCCCTACTCCTGCTCCTATTTATTATGTTCTTATGTTTTTATAGCCTGTTATGCAGAGACTGTCTTATGAGGAGAGGTTGAGTAGATTGAGCATGCACTTGTTGAGAGATAAAAGAATGAGAGGTGACCTTATTGAAACATGCAAGGCTATTAGAGGACTTGACAGGGTAGATGTAAAAAGGTTGTTTCTTCTTGAGGGAGCGTCTAGAACCAGAGAGTATAATCTCCGAATAAAGGGGTTGCATATTTAAGACAGATGAGGAGGAATTTCTTCTCCCAGAGGGTTGTGAATCTAAGGAATTCTTTATCACAGAGGGCTGCTGAGGCTGGGTCTTTTCTTTTATTCATTCACAGGATGAAGCCATTGCTGGCTAGGCAACATTTATTACCTATCGCTAATTGCCCAGAGGGCAGTTATGAGTCAACCACATTGCTGTGGGTCTGGAGTCACATGTTGGCCAGACCAGGTAAACGATGGCAGATTTCCTTCCCTGAAGGATATTAGAGAATCAGATGGGTTTTTCCTGACATTGACAATGGATTTGTTGTCATCATTAGACTCTTAATTCCGGATTTTTATTGAATTCAAATTCTACCATCTGCTACAGTGAGATTCAAACCCTGGTCTCCAGAACATTACCTGGGTCTCTGGATTAACAGTCCAGTGATAATGCCACTAGCCCATTACCTCCCCATTAGCATAAAGTATGTTCTAAGCTGAGGTGGGCAGATATTTAATCAGTAAGGTAATAAAAGGTTAAGGGGATAAAGCAAGAAGGTAGACAGTCTCATGGATGTGGCCAAGCTGACATGGGATTCTCAAAATTGCAGTACCAGTCTTGCCTCCAAGCCTGTTTCCATAGAACAGGGCAAATTCATCTCAAGGCATGAGTGAGGAAACATGCAAGGGCCAAACAATATACCTTCCCCTGGGGAGAGTAGAAAAATCCCGGCAGTATTCGTCACTATTTCTCGGATCAAGAGATTTCCGAATTCACTTCTACAACTTGTTGTGGCGTGATCTGAGCTCTGATCTCTTGGCTGCTGGTCTGGTATCAGAACCAGAATTAGGCTGGCATATATAACGACAAAGCTGGAAATCTCAAGTTACTCAGCAGTACTGGCCCCTCATCTGGCAATGCCTCAATTCAGAAATTCTCATCCTTTATAAATCCCTTAAGGACTTCACCCCTTCCTATTCATGGAATCTCTTCTTTCCCTACAACATTCCTAATCTAATGTTGACATCTGTGTATCTACCACTGGATGCATTGGCAGCCATCAGATGCGTTGGTCCCACATTCTTGAATTTCCTCGAAAACCTCTCCATCTCCCTCTCTTGCTGTCATTCACCCTTGACGATGCTAATTAAAATGTATCTCTTTGAGCGAACGTTTGGTTACTCGTCCTGATATTACCTGGCATCGAATTTTATTTGAACACTCTTGTCAAGCAATTTGGGATACTTTATTAGAGGGGTGCCATATAAGTGTAAGTTGCTGTAGTTGATATATTTTAATCTTCAAGAAGACGGTCTCTCAAAATCTCAAGAGGCCATTATATGCGCAGGAATTGTCAGGTTTCAGCTGGTCTGTGAGCTTGCTTCCAATGAGTTGGTCTGAAGTAGTATTGAATTGGGCATTTGTGAGGTTAAGTGGAGTGAGTGGACAGGGGCATTCAGGCCAGGGGCAGAAGGAGTGACAAAGGTTTAATTTTAACCAGTCTAGAGGATGCAGAATGCAATGTGTGCTACCTAGGAAGGGAAAGATCAAAGTGGTTTAGTGAACAAAAGATAACAAAACAGAGGGAGGAGCAGGGACAATTATTTCAAACATATCAAAATATAAAGGCTCAACAATCTATGGAAACAAAAACAACTATCTACGTAAAGTATTAAGAAAGGCAGTGAGCAAGAGATGTGGATGGATAAGGTGGGGATGAGTCTATTTTTGGAGAGTTAATGAAAAATTGAGCATAAAATATAAATCAAAGATAAGAATTTACAACTTAATATCTGAGTAAACACTCCAATACAGAGAGAAAAACTAACTCAATGTTGCTACAAAGCAACACGAGCAGGCCATTCAGCTCTTTGGGCCAGTTTCTAGTATTCGATAAGATAATAGTTGAACTGTGTGCTAGCTCTATACACTCACCTTTGCCTCTTGTCCCTTTACCTCTTTGGATAACAATACTCTATCCCTCAGATTTAAAGTGGAAAATTGATTAAGCAGCAGTTGCCACTTGAGAACCTTGCCCTTGAAAACCCACTTAAATCCCCAAAAAGCCTGGTTCTGAGTTTTGTATGATGCCTTCTGATCCCGGTCGCCCCAAGATCGCATGGCGGATGAACTGTGAAGGATCTGCAGCTTGATCCAGTCGTTTGGTTGGATCTTGGACTTTGGATTGTAACAGTGTATGACAATCTTATTGAGTGGTTGGCCCTGGTATGACAGGAATTATTGACAAGCAAATGTTCAAAGATCTCAAAAACGAACAATGTGATTCAGGCACTGACTTCTTTAGGCCAGCTACCTTGGTCTTGGCCTTTCTTTAGGTCAGTGTGTTTCTGCCATGCTGTCATGAGGATAAATGGGTTTAGCATATGTACTTAGAATTGTTCACTCATCGCTTCAACCAACATTGTGTCATCTATAAAGTTGTTTAAAACCCTTTTCTAATGTTGTCTTCTTTGCCCTCCCTTATTCCTCCCTTTCCAAAGTCTCATGTGGGACACCACTTGAAAACTGTCCTGTCAGAGGGAGAACATGCTTGGACGGAATATAAAACACAAAGAAGCAAGGCCTGTTACAGTCATTATGGTGAACCCAGTCAATCACTTACCAAGTAATGGTGGTAACCAATTCACGTTGGCCTCACAGTGAGAATCCAGGAAGGTCAAAACTTCACCTTTGGCCACTGAAGCTCCTAGCAACCTGGTTCGGATCAGGCCTTCCCTCTTCCTGGTGCGCATGATCCTCACTTTCGGGAATCTAGCCATGTATTCTTCTAAACGTTTTTTCAAATGTTCTGGAAAACACAAAGATGTGGGCACTTAAACATCTTTTTAAAAAAAAATTGTGATTGTTTCAGACAATTGATCAGCATGATAGAAGCTCTTTTCATGCCTACTTTCTCCCTCTCACTCTCTGTCCCTCTCTTCTTTTCCCCATTCATTCATGAGGGTATGGGCATCAATTGCTGGAATAGATTGAAAGCCCCTTAAGTGGTCATTAATTGGAACAGGAACGAAAGGAGGAGTTAGAGGCAGGGAGACCACGACCTACTGTATTATCACTGGACAGTTAATCCAGAGACCCAGGTAATATTCTGGGGGGCGGGGTTTAAATCCCACCGTGGCAGATGGTAGAATTTGAATTCAAAAAGGAAAAAATAATTTGAAATTAACAGTCTAACATTGGCCTTGAATCCAATCTCAATTGCCAGAAGAACCCATCTGGTACATTAATGCCCTTTGGGGAAGGAAACTGCCATCCTTATTTGGTCTTGACTATATGTGACTCCAGACCCACAGGAATGTGATTGACTCATAACTGCCCACTGGCAATTAGGAATGGACAATGAACGCTGGCCTATGACCTATGATCTGATTAAGGCAGAGAGATAATTGCAAAAAAATAAGAAATAAGATGGTGCTGGAGACAGACTAAATGGCTGGAATAACATGATAGGTATAAGAGTCATATGACGGGGGTCAAACCAAAGTGATCTAAAACTTACAAACTAATAAAGATAGAGCAATCGTAAGTTATCAAGGTGTTGGTGTCCAAACAGAACAGAATGGAACATATTACAAACATGTGGGGTCACATGTAGCGCGAAATGAACCCAAAATTACAGTTGAGATCATCTTCATGAGCACGGAACGTGGCTATCAGTTTCTGCTCAGTGATTCTGCATTGTTGTGTGTCTCTGAGGCTACCTTGGAGGACGCTTACCCAAAGATCGGAGGCTGAATGTCCTTGACCGCTGAAGTGTTCGTCCACTGGGATTGAACACTCAGGCTGGGCAATTGCTACGCGGTGTCCATTCATCCATTGTCACAGTGCCTGCGTGGTCTCACTGACACCCTATGCCTCGGGGCATCCTTTCTGGCAGCGTATGAGGTAGACAACACTGGCCGAGTCACATGAGTACCTACCATGTACGTGGTGAATGGTATTTCCACGTATGATGGTAGTATCCGTGTCGATGATCTGGCATGTCTTGCAGAGGTTGCCATGGCAGGGTTGTGTGGTGTTGTGGTCGATGTTCTCCTGAATGCTGGGTAGCTTGCTGTGAATGATGGTCTGTTTAAGGTTTAGCAGTTGTTTGAAGGTGAGATGTTCATCATCATCAATGACATGTTGAAGCATGTGAGGAACATGGCGTAATTTCTCCGTTCTGGAGAAGTATTGGATGACGAAGGGTAATCTCAGTCGTGTCCTGTGTCTGTCTTCTGCTACAAAACTCCCTTATTGTAGGTGAAGCCTCGGCCAATTTTATTGGATATATACAGTTTGTAGGGATGCAAAAAGCACACACTTCATGCTGAATTCCTAATATGAGCTTGCTTGCACAGGTGTATTGATATTTATTATCTTCGCACATCTGTAAACCTTGTGCTCCCAGAAAGGTCAAGCCAGCAGATTAAATTATGGACAACCCTGTCATTTCTCATGTACCTTCTGAGTGAAGTCCTTCGGGTTATGCATTGAGAATGTTGTCACTGAAAATGGTTCAGCAACATCACCTTGACAATTATTTCAGGCTGCATTATGGCCTCAACTTGCAGCTTCCCAAATGGACTGTTTCCTCCCAGAAACCCTAGTCCACTCTTCAGTCACTTCTGGCAGTCCCTCTCTTTCCTCAGGCACCTTGCATGCAAATGTAGGAGATGTATCACCTACATTTTTATCTCCTCCAATTCTCAGTGTCTGATACCCTGAGCCAGCAACATAGAAGCACTTCTTTCAACTTAGTATGCTGCACACAGGAGACCAAATGCATACTGTACAAGTTTGTTTTGTGTTTCCTGTGGGTGTCACTGGCTGGCCAGCATTTATTGCCCATCCCTAGTTTCCCTTGAGAAGGTGGTGGTGAGCTGCCTTCTTGAACTGCTGCAGTCCACCTGCTGTTAGTATCCCCACAATTTAACTATTTTGCATTTTTAAAATTCTGATGAGAGATTACATTTGGGCAGAATTTGTGGTTTTGACAGGGATCCCTCCCTCCGGAGGAAAAGGGATGGCAACCCAGCAGCCTCTGTTTCCAGGATTCTCAGAAGATGGTGGTGGAGTAGGATGCTTCAGACAGAGCTCATCTGCTCCATCCGTTTCCTTTCCTTCTCTCTTTTTTTCTTTCTTCCCTTTTGTGTTATTTTTAACCCTTCTCTTTTCTTTCTTCTCCTGGCCATGGAATCCTGACCACGGACTCCCGGCCTCCGACTCCGGACCCAGCATGGCAGTCTCTCGAACTGACGTGGAGATCTCTCGGTGGCCCGGTGTGACAGCCTCCCGGCCCAGTGTGGCGGACATTCGGCCCGTCGTGGTGATCTTTCGGCAGTATGTGGCATTCTCTTGGCTTGGCGCGGCCTCGGTATGGACTTTGGTCTCAAGATGATTCCTCAAAATGCAGTACCACCATGGCTAAGCATTTAAAGACTGTAATGATTGAACTTTCAGCTTTGTTTCTTTATTTCCTACTTAAAACTAAGAAAGTCTATAATGTGTAACTTTTGACTTTATTTTGTATGTTTTATATATTATGTAAATACTATAATAATTGCAGTGTTTAACTTTTAACTTTGTTCTTTCTTTCTACCTTGTTCTTAAGATGCTGTACCTGGGTACTTGTATCCAAGGTGCTGCCTTGTGTGGCGATATATGCTTTTCACTGTACTCCTGTGCTTTTGCACTTGAGTATACATGGCAATGAAATCAAATCAAATCAAATCAGGACGCCCGATGAGATCCAATCCCAATAAGGCACTGTCTTGTTTCCGGCTACTGACATCCTCACAGACTGCCAATGTGCCACACACGCAAGAGAATACCTGGCCAACCACTCTGCAGCACCAGCCTGTGGTCACAATTGCAGTGCCACTGGGTAACAAGGGCATGTGAGGGGAGGGAGTTCTAATTAAAGGGCAGAGGGAAGTCTCCTTGATCCCACCAATGGGAATGTTCATGCAACACACAGAGAGCTACTAATGCTCCCACACCATCCCCACACTAATCATTAAACTTTTACTCCAGAAACTCAAGTCAATGGTCCAGGGACATGGCTTCAAATCCCATCCTGGAAGATAGTGGGATTTGAACTGAATAAAATCTGGAATTATAAGCTCATGGTGACCATGAAACCATTGTCAATTTTACAAAACCTCATCTGGTTCACCGACGTCCTTTCAGGAAGGAAACTGCTAATCTTACCCAGCCTGTCCTACACGTGACTCCAGACCCACAGCAATGTGATTGACTCTTAACTGTCCATGAAATTATTCCACAGTGGCCGGTATCCCATCACCAAGACACCCTTTGTTCACATGCAGAGAGTCCTTGACATTGATCCAGCTCCCTCAGAATCAGCTGTCAGAGTGAACAGAACCGCTCACACTCTTGATTATATCTGTCAGCCAGGGCTCCCTGATTGGACCAGATTAACAGCCCAATCAGGGAACTCATTCTATGACATCCATCTGGCAAGACCTCATTACAATCACAACAGTCCCATGGGCAATAAGGGATGGGTAATAAACGCTGGCATAGCAAGCCATGCCCTCATCCCATGAATGAATAAAGAAGAAAGGAAAAACTAGGCCTCAGGCCTCATAACCAGGTCTTTTTCTGATCGTAGGACTGCATGGTGTGGTTCCTCCCTGCTACATGGTAAATAGTATCTATACGAAGGCCTTGAGTGTTTGCGTGATCCTTAAAAGGCCACGTAAGGGAGTCAATTGGGATGGTGAAGCTCAAGCCCTCCAGCTCTGAATGGAGGGAGATGGCACATTGTTGATTTCTTTACCTCACATTTTCCTGTTCAGTGACATGGACATCTGCCTGAAATCACACCTTGCACGATATTAAATTCTGCCTGTAAACTCTGTTCCGCTCACCACAGACACTGTTAGGCCTGCTGGGCCTTTCTAGAAATATCTATTTTTCTTTTCAGTTCTTAATCCACATGAGAGGAAGGGGAAGGTTACATTGATAAGGTGAGATGAAGAAGTGTTGATAATTGGAGCGTAAGCACTAGAAAGGCCAATTTGGACCAAATGGCCTGTTGGTCCTGTTCACTCAATGTCATTTGATGTTCTTCCCGGTCTTGACAGTTCATCTTAGCATTGCAAGCATCTCAAAGGACAAAAAAGCAGATGTTATTAAGTGGCTGTCAAAGCTCTTTAGCCATAACCAAGGGTCTCTTTGCAGTAAAACCACTCCAGTTTCATTTTACTTTTACGAGCAGGCTATTAAACACAAGGTAGATTTATAAAACCATTAACGGGTGATTAATGGGACTTTCCACAGAATACGAGTAAACTGGCAGACAGATCATTGCCATACATTGCAGTAGAAAAATAACTTGTATATTTTAAGGTTTTGGTGTTATTTTCCAACTTTTTTTTTTCTCCTTCCCCTGCCTGTTTTATGTGCCAGCTGTCATGGAATGCATGTGTTGCCAGACTTTTAAAGTGCACTCCATCACAAATGAAGAGGCACCTCTCAATTTTCCCCTTCCACCCAAACCTTCCCTCACTTTAGATTTGTACTCTGGATGCAAGCCACACTGGCAATGGCACAATTATTGCCCGTAGTTGGTTGACGAAGTGGCAATGGCTTAACAAAGTGGACATTTCCAAGAATCAAGGCTGGCTCACCAATGTAGTACAAGTTGGAGTCTCCATTTTTCGAACGAGACCGTAAGCTGCGTTCTTTTCCCATTTGTTCACAAAACCACATAAAAGATACAAAGGATGCCATGGTGAGTAAGAGTAGGAGAGTTCTCCCTGTGTTCTGGCTAATTAATGTCTTGAAAATTGATTATCTGTTATTTGTGGGAGGTTACTGTACATAAATTGGCTGCCCAATTTCTCTGCCACAGCAAATAAACTTCTGAGAGTCATACAGCATGGAAACAGACCCTTGGGTCCAATTCATTCGCGCCGACCAGACATCCCAATCTGACCTAGTCCCATTTGCCAGCACATGGCCCATATCCCTTCCTGTTCATATACCCATCCAGATTCCTTTTAAACGTTGTAATTGTACTCACCTCCACAACTTCCTCTGGCAGCTCGTTCCATACATGCACCACCCTCTGAGTGAAAAGGTTTCTCCTTAGGTCCTTTTTAAACCTTTCCCCTCTCACCTAAACCTATTTTGTCCTCTCGTTTTGGACTCCCGTACCTTGAGGAAAAAGGCCTTGGACAATCACCCTATCCATGCCGCTCATGGTTTTATAAACCTCTATAAGGTCACCCCCTCAGTCTCCGATGCTCCAGGGAATATAGGCCCGATCTATGCAGCCTTTCCCTATAACTCACCCTCCAATCTGAGCAACATTGTTATGAATCTTTTCTGCACCCTCTCAAGTTTAACAACATCCTTCCTATAGAAGGGCAACCAGAATTATATGCAGTATTCCTAAAGTGGCCTAATCAATGTCCTGCACAGCTGCAACATGACATCCCAACTCCTCTACTCAACCAAAAATGCACAGTTCTAAAGAAGATGTTTGTGGTTGTTACAGGTCAACCATCTTAGCTCCAGGGCATTGCATAGTTCCTCAGGGTTGAGTCCTAGGCCCAACTATCTTTAGCTACTTCGTCAATGGCCATCACTGAATTGTCAGGTTAAAAATGGGCATGTTTACTGATGTTTGCATGATTTTCGATACCATTCTGGCAATTCAGATGCTGATACAGTCAATGACTATAGCTCTGGACAATAGCAAGTTTGGCTAAATTATAGAAAGTAACATTCATTTCACAAGTGGACCAGACAATGACCATTCCAACAAGAGAGAACCTAACATTCCCTTGACATTCAAAGCCATTATCATCACATTTTCCCCACTGTCAACATCTGTGGGATTACCATTGATCAGAAACTGAACTGGACTAGCCATATAAATACTGGGGCGACAGTGGCTGCTTAAGCAAGCAAAAGGTCAGAGGGTGGGAATTCTGTGATGGTGATTTCACCTCTCTCCTCAAAGCCTGCACACTATTTACAAATCACCACAATGAATGTGATGGAATATTGCCCACTTGCCTGGAGGGGTGCTGCTCCTACAACACTCCAGTAGCTCATAGCATCCAAGACAAAGCAACCACTTGACTAGCACTGCATCTATCCCTTTCATCTACCATTCACTTCCTTTTACAATGTACAGTGACTGAGCAGAGGATGTGGAGATGCTTCAATATGTGATTTAGACAAGTCACAAAAACACAGGAAGGTGGATTATTATCTGAATGGTGCTAGATTGGGAAAGGGAGAGGTGGAATAAGATGGTGGTATCCTTGTATACCAGATACCGAAAGTAACCATGCAGTTGCAGCAGGCAGTGAAGAAGGCAAATGGTGTGTCAGTCTTCCTAGTGAGAGGACTTGAGTCCAGAATCAGGGACATCTTGCTGCAATTGTACAGGTCTTTAGTGAAACCACACCATAAGACCATAAGATATAGCAGCAGAATTAGGCCATTCAGCCTATCAAGTCTGCTCCACCATTTGATCATGGCTCTTATGTTCCTCAACCCATTTTCTCCCTTTACCCTGTCAACTTTGATCCACTTATTAGTCAAAAATTGTCTATCTCCATCCTAAATACACTCAATGACCTGGCCTCCAAAACTTTCTGTGACAATGAGTTCCACAGATTCACCACCCTCTGCCTGTGGAAATTCTTCCTCATCTCAGTTCCAAAGGGTCGACCCTTCACTCTGAGGCTGTGCCCTCAGGTCTAAGTCTCTCCCACAAGTGGAAACATCTTCTCCACATCCACTCTATCCAGGCCTCTCAGTTTTCTGTAAGTTTTTCAGATCCTCCCTCATCCTTCTGAACTCCATCTCGTACAGTCCCAAAGTCCTCAACTGCTCCTCACAGTGACAAGCCCTTCATCCCTGGGATCATTCTTGTAAACCTCCACTGGACTCCCTCCAAGGCCAGCTTGTCTTCCCTTTGATATAGGGCCCAAAACTGCTCATAATGTTCCAATATTCCAAATCTGGAAAACTCCATTTATTTTTGGTCTCCTTATATGTGGAAGGATGTTCTAGCTATGGAGGGAATGTAATGATGTGTTTACCAGACTGATTCCTGGGATGGTAGGGCTGACTTATAAGGAGAGAGTGGATCAGTTATGACAATGTTTACTAGAGTTGAGAAGAATGAGGGGGATCTCATAGGAACCATTAGAATTCTAACAGGACTAGACAGGGTAAATTTGGGAAGAATGCTCACAATGACCAGAACCAGGGATCAAAGTGCGAGGATATAGGATAGGCTATGTAGGACTGAAATGAGGAGAAATTACTCTCTTTACCCAGAGAGTGGTCGGGGCGTGGAATGCATTGCCGGAGAGGGTAGTGGAGTCGGCCTCATTAGGGGCATTTAAGCGGCTATTAGATAGGCATATAGATGA